AGAACAAGTGTTCGGCCTGGTTTGTAGTTCAAACCAGAGACTCTCTTACTATAAGTTTTTTCTCAGTCCTTTGCTGGGTTATTTTTTGTTGTTTGGGAGGACTATTAAAGCATTCAAAGCCCACCTCCATTCGGCCCATCTTCTCTACAATGTCAAAAGCCAAGACATAATCAAGCAGTTCTCTYGGTCCCATTTGTCATATTCAGCAGTGCCAGCTCTAGGTTCTTTCACTTTTCCATTTATATATCCAGCTTTACCCCTGGCTGTAATGTACAGCTGCATCTCCTTGGACCATCTCAAGTAGTTTCTACCATCTAAGGGAGTAATAGACATTGGGAAGTTTGTTGTATCATGGCCATTGTACAAACCACTCTGATTTGAAGTGGTTCCTGAAGTTGCAAAATCTTCATAAGCCATAAGTAATCACTTATCAATGATCACTAATTCTGTTCTTAAGCCAACACACAGAGGACAGCAGCCCTTTGAAGAGTAATTTTTTCCCTTTTTTATGAATCAAAAAGAAGTTGCAGAAAGTACAGCACTTGTTGTTACACACATTAATAGGTCTATCAGACCTCACCGAGGCTAGTACAGTCCACACAAAGCATCAATAGAGCTGCTGTAGTACTTCATTAAACTGAACCAGGTCATTCATGACCTACAGAGGTTCAACATTCACACAGTTCTGGATCTACAGATCCACAAACAAATAGGGTTCAGACCACCCTTATATCATTCGGCCAAGGCAAACCACTGTCTGTTCTTGGTAACCAGACCAAGAACTAAAGAAAAGAAAGGACTTAGTTCTTGTTCTTGTTCAGTTCGAGTAGGTTTCTGGAGATTCCAATCCCAGAACAATAAGAAAACAGGAAAAAACAACCACCGACCTCTTAGGAAAATTCAAAGCACCATTCATTGATTTCTGGTATTAGTTCTGTTCAGTTCTGATCAAACTGTGTAAGAAAGGAAGCAGTCAAAGTGTTTTCAGTGCAGGTTCGACCAGGTTTGTTCCATTCTCAGTCCAGTGAAGAGGGGAGGAAGCTTCGGCCAGAAAAGGAAAGGTTTTACAGAGCCCTACCCTGCTCTGATACCATGATTTCAGAGAAGAGGAAGGAAGAAGAGAGGGAGAAGAAATAAAGACAAAGAAGTGAATCTATGCAAATAAAAAGCATAGAGATACAAGTTATGCCTTGGAATGAAATAAAGACAAAGAAGCTATAAATAACGCAATTATGAGTCTCATAAAGAGCTCAATTGTGGCTAAGTATGAAATACTTACAGCATGCTTAACACATGCAAGTTTGATGGAAACAGGTGCTTCTACGATGGTCCTCCTAACCAGAATGAATTATCAAACTAAGGCGACAATAATATGCACAAAGTGATAGTAAAATAACTTACCAGATAAGCTCAATCCTTTTGTATCTTGTAAATCTACTGCAGTTGAGTCCTCAATATCACATTTCCCAACAATAATACAAGATCCCCAAAGTGACGTCAGAAGCATGACAGTTGACCCAGCCAGCAAGCCCATTCCAACCAAAACCTGACTCTGAGCAGTTTCTCTACTTCCAGAGAGTCCAGAAACTGTGGTACAGAAGAAAGCAATTAGATGCAATCTATAGAACTAAGAATAAAAGACAAATGTGAAAACCTTGCAATTTATGAGATATGGTTCATGATTTTTTTTTTTTGATAAATGAGGAGAATTTTTATATTGTATTAAATTATTAAAAAGGAGACTGGAAAGCCTCAACTGTACAAAAAGTGTGACTATCAGTATTCCCGAAAAGAGACTGTGTATCAATCCTTTACATTTTGGTCAAAAATAATGGAAGCCCAATAACTCCTGAATCTACCAGCTTGAACATTGGAAAACGACTTCAAAGCCCATTCCCATCGAATAAGGTTCCATTCTATCTTTCTATCCTTAACATCAAAGATTCTTCTGTTCCTCTCCACACCAGCCAACAGATAGAAAAAGGAGTGGAATTCCACAAAAAAACTTCCCCTTATCTGAAAAGCCACCAACTCTCCAACACCAACAGGATAGGAGATCAGATAAACATGGACCCACTGCCTCTTGAAAAGCCAAAGAAAATGATACCAGATCTGAAATGATAAAGAGCATAAGAACAGTAAGTAACTAGCAGATTCAGGAGCCTCCCTGCAAAGGCAACAGATACTGCCTAAATCCAAGCCGTGTCTCAAGAGGTTATCCGTGAACTGAATCTTCCCCAGTCAGCAGCCCAAAGCATTAATCCAAGAGTTTTTTTAAGTCAAATCTTATGTCCAAATCCTTTTCTGCAGAAATCTTATGATTTTTGTTTGAACCCTATAATTTGACTCATGAATCTTGTAATTTATACAATTCATGTAATTCAAATTAATTCAATTAAGACTTAATTCACTATTTTGGCATTCCATGTTTCCTTTAAGTTTTTTCAAGAGAAACTTGTTTTAAATCTCTTACTAGAAATTGATTTATTAAGGTTATTTAAGACCTTTTAGAAATCATATTCAGTTTATTTTCCATCATATGTAGATTAAAGAGTAATATGCAGATTACCTGACTTTCAAGTTGAACTTGATTATATCATCTCAAGCTTCTACTGTACAGAGGTAAATCAATTTTTCAGGTCATATATGGTAGATATGGATTAAAAATAAGGCGAAATCACTTTTATACACAATTAGATTATTAGTATACCTGTTTTTAAATTTTTTACAAGTTTGTAAAAACAGAAATAATTGTACAATTTATGATACATTTCTTGATTTCATTTTATTCAACTTTCTCTACAATTACAATTTTCAGAACATTGATAACACCTTAAATAGAATTAGATCCATTACATGAAAAAGATAATTACCATTGCATTAGAGAAAGTTAGGATGAAAATTAGGTTTTACATATTAAGCATAAGTGTATATCTGTTCACTCAAGTTTATTTGTATTCTTTCAATGATATAAATAAGAATAAGTATGTGGAAGAAACACGAATGTTGAGATGGATGAATGGGAAAACTATAATGGATAGGATAAGAAATGAACTTATTCGAAAGACCATCTACAAGCACCAATAAGAAGAAGTGAATTATTACATGTTGAAGGGGCTAGAAGAGCTTAGGGCAGGCCAAAAAGGACATGGGTTGAAGTAGTGAGAAATGATTTAAGGGAATGTTTGCAACCTGTGGCTGAACCAGTCAACCCATCACCCAGCCAGATTTTATGTCTGTTTCATCCCCAAACCGCTTACTTGTAAAATCCATTGACTCAATCAATGACCCAATGACCAAGCTAGTTGAACCCCTGAACTCTTGACATAGCGGTTCACAGGTTATACATTAACTTTCTTTTTATGTTTTTTTTTTTTGCATTTTTGGCTATTTCCACCATTAATAACAATAGTTCTTATTTATCACACTTATTTTTGTTCAATATGAAGAATATATAAACATAAGAGGTATGCCCAATTTTTCTGCAATTGTTTTGCACTTTTGTCTGGTCTGTAATTTATCTATTTTTATATTTTTATTATTTAATTTATGACATCAAGGGTTGAGCCATTTGACACAGATGGATGAACCACTAACCTGCCTCCTAGATAGAAAAGAGGTTCCATTTCTAGGTCAGTTTAAACACTAATTTAAGGGCCCACAATTTTACAATGGATATGGTACTGAACAGGACTCATGTAGCCAACCCCATATGGTTGGGACAAGGCTTAGATGATGATGATAAGGTGGCAGCACCAAATTTCTTCAACCTCTCTTCTCTTCTTCTACTTCTTCTAGGGTTTGTCTCTTATGTCTTTTTATTTTCTTCATCTAAAATTACAAGTCAGTATTAGAGCTTCATCTGATCTGATCTGACCTGGTCTGATCAAACCCTTTAATTATTCAGTTTATGAAGCCACTGAGCTACCACCAGTAGGCACATGGTGGATTAAAGCTCTAGAAATTACTGCTTGAGTCATATGCTTTCTTAGGGTTGTATGTTCATTTTCTGGATTTTTTCTGCCTAAGAATGAAGACCTAGAGGTACAACTTCTCCAAAATTATTAAAAAAATAAGCTGATAAAAATTCTTTAAAAAAAAAAACAAATCTGGTGTTTCTGGATTGGTGTGATTTAGTGAGAGAAGAAAACACAACTTGGCCCCCTACAAAGTGATCCCAATGTCCTAAATGTAAATCCATGCCACTGAATAATTTTCATTGATGATTCATGATGAATCAATTTTGAGCTAAGTACCTCGTCATTCGGTCTGCTTCCAAGTGGCCGATGACTCAGAGGCCGAAGTGGAGAATTTTGCTGGGTGAGGACCTGGATGCCGAGCTGACCAGGCCGAGCTGGGAGTGGACTAGGTGCCGAGCTGACCGGGCCGAGCTGCATTGATTGTTGAGCTTCATAGTTCCTTAGAGACCTGCAAGGAATCAATGTCAGAGGACCCGAGGTGGCTAACCCGGCGAGGTCGCTCCGATGCTTAAGTTAGTAAACTAGTAGTAAATCGCGAGCTAAAAAATCATAAAAGTATGAGAGCTAGAATTTGCTTACTTGCCCCCCCCCCTATGTCATTGGGGTTGGTGCCTTTATATAGGCATTGTTTGGCGTGGGCTTCACACACTGCATCCGAGATTTCCAAGAGGTCGCCTAAGTGGTCCGAGATTCCTGGAGGCAACCGTCATGCACGTTGACCACCCTCTATAACGTTCGGTACGTGGGCCAACTTCCAAGGATCGTGGGCCAACCGAATTTGTCGGTGAGAACATCTCGCAGGTCGCCACCTGGACCTCAGTCAGGCCGGCACGCCCTCGAGGGAGGTCGCTCCTTGCGTCGAGGTCACTTCGACCAGTGACGAGGTGTTGTAGGTCGGCCCTAGACGAGGTGCTTCTAGCCGACCTGAGTTGTGGTCGAGGTCGCTACGTCGGCGTCAGTGCTAGGTCAGTGATAGTGCGAGGTCGCTAGGTCGGCGTCAGTGCCAGGTCGACGATAGTGCGAGGTCGCTAGGTCGCCAGGTCACCAGGTCAGCGCCTATGCCAGGTCGCCAGGTCGGCACCTATGCCAGGTCGCCAGTTTGGCGCCTGTGCCAGGTCGCCAGTTCGACACTTGTGCCAGGTCGCCAGGTCGGGACACCATCATCTTGGCTAAGGTAAGTTGTCGCCTAAGTCGTTCTGGGTGTCACCCAGTTGTTCCAAGATGCCACGTGTCACAATGTCATTGGAGGGCCAAATCTGCCCTCATCAATTGCCCCCCACTCCCGAGCTGAAAGTAACTCGGCGAAGGGAGTAGATTGCTCCTTTTGGCCTGGAATGACTAATTCGATGAGCTCGTAAGCGTCGATCCAATTTGCTTCTCAGGTCGGAAAGTCCAAGTGTTTGCAGCCTTGTGCAGGACCTCGCCATCTTTATTTTCGGGGCCCGAGAGCGAGTTCATCTGCTCGAGGAGAGGTGGAGCAGGTACCCCAAGGACATCTACCTTATTAGGGATGTGACCATCAAGAGGTTTTGCGATCCGACTAAGTACCTCAAGAGTGAAGCTCATCATGCCGTCCTTAAGAGGGGGTTCTGTGTGACCTCTCTATTAGGTCGCTCCACCTAGGTAGACTTCGACGCAGTGTCCTTCGAGCTGGCCCTAGCTAGTGAGTTTGATGCAGAGCCTGCAATCGAGGTGGAGGTCAGCTGTGAAGAAATCAAGTTTGCATCCATCACGGTGCTGAGAGCGAACTAGTCTTTTCCTTTGTTTTCTCGTGCTGAATGCGAACTGCTTTATATTTCACCCATGTAAAAGAGGCGACTGGGTCCCACGTGGTGCCGAGGTCTTTTATCAGCCCGGCACCTTAGCCCTTAGGCTCTAGGAGCGACTCGTAGCCCACTCTCCTTACCCTTGATTTTGCCCATGACGAAGAGGCGACTGGGTCTTAAGCAGTGTCGAGGTCTTTTATCAGTTTGGCACTTTAGCCCTTAGGCTCTGGGAGCGACTCGTAGTCCACTCTCCTTGATTTTGCCCATGCCAAAGAGGCGACTGGGTTTTATGCGGTGCCGAGGTCTTTTATCAACTCGGCACTTTAGAGCTACAGCTGCGCTGCATCAGCCTCGTTAGTGACGCCGGTCACTCACTCCTACAAGAAGCTACTGGGAGCTCGACCTATGAGGGCAGCACTACTGACTTTAGGTCACCAGCTCGCACGGGAGCCTTGGAAGGCTCGACCGGCAAGGGCATCCGTGCAGTCCGTTGGCCGCCAACTCCCACGGAAGCCACGAAGAGCTCATCTTGTAGAGGGTACCTCGCGAAGAGGGCTGATGAGGCTTTATCTGAGTTGAAATAAAGTCGGCAGAGCTGCTTAGTCTATTGGCCATCAACTTCCTGCTTAGTCTTTGAGTTCATAAAAAATGGAAACTAGAAAGTGAGAGCTTTAGTTTCTAAAAGGTGAGAACTTAGCTTTCTGGAAGAAGAGGACTTAACCTTTCGGAGGATGAGAACTTAGCTTTTTGTAGCGTTTCCCACAAACGGCGCCAATTGATGAATCAATTTTGGGCTAAGTACCTCGTCATTCGGTCTGCTTCCAAGTGGCCGATGACTCAGAGGCCGAAGTAGAGAATTTTGCTGGGTGAGGACCTGGATGCCGAGCTGACCAGGCCGAGCTGCATTGATCGTTAAGCTTCATAGTTCTTTAGAGACCTGCAAGGAATCAATGTCAGAGGACCCGGGATGGCTAACCCGGTGAGGTCGCTCCGATGCTTAAGTTAGTAAACTAGTAGTAAATCGCGAGTTAAAAAATCATAAAAGTATGAGAACTAGAATGTGTTTACTTGCCCCCCCTATGTCATTAGGGTTGGTGCCTTTATATAGGCATTGTTTGGCGTGTGCTTCACGCACCGCATCCGAGATTTCCGAGAGGTCACCTAAGTGGTACGAGATTCCCGGAGGCAACCGCCATGCACGTTGACCACCCTCCGGAACGTTCGGTACGTGGGCCAACTTCCAAGGATCGTGGGAGTGTTGGGATATGCATGCCGAATTTGTCGGTGAGCACGTCTCGCAGGTCGCCACCTGGACCTCAGTAAGGCCGGCACGCACTCGAGGGAGGTCGCTCCTTGCGTCGGCGCCAGGTCGCCAGGTCGACGACATTGCCAGGTCGCCAGGTCGAAACACTATCATCTTGGCTAAGGTAAGTTGTCGCCTAAGTGGTTCCGGGTGTCACCCAGTTGTTCCAAGATGCCACGTGTCACAATGTCATTGGAGGGCCAATTCCGCCCTCATCAATGCAGAATATGAAAATCTCCACTCTCGTCGAGCATAAAAGACCCTGCCAGAATTCCTAACCAAGGTTTCAGTTTATATAGCCAACCCGTCAAGACCCACCTTCCTCCCCAAGGTTTTAGATTCACATAGTGAGCCCAACAAGATCCATTTCTGAATCTCTTCAACATCTATGTAGCAGGAATCATTAGAGGAACTTTTACCTCTCAAATGTCACATTCATGATTTACCTTCTTTGACTAACCATAAATTCTACAATTGCACCACCTGCCTCCTGCATTACTAATAAAATGACATTCGTTGTTTTCTTCTGCCACTTCTGATGCCTTTGTGAAAAATCCTTACCTATTTTATGCATTGGTGTAAGTCTATCCTTAAAAAGCTTCTTCTCTGTCTGGAGGTCTTCCCTCCTTTCTTCTCAGTTTGTTTATATCAACTAAATATCTTCAGTTGCATAGTTCTCTTAAAAGAAAAGAACAAAATAAAAAATTAACTGATGAAGAGTACCACTTACATTAGCATGAATTTGAACACTATGAATTGCAGGTGTGTACAACATCAGTTGCTTCAGACCATTTTACAGAGAAAGTTTGGATATGGAACTGAACAGAATGGAATGGCTAAACAGGTTCACTTAACCAACCAAATATAGTTGGGACAAAAAGCTTAGACGATGATGCTGATGACCAAAATGAAGATCAGAGAGAGTTGGGACAAGACTTAAGATGACTATGGTGATCAGTTAGACTTTATGCAAATGCCATATAGTCTCTCTTTTGGATTTACAAGTCAGAAAAAATTAATTTCTGATCAATCCTCCCGGATTGACAATTTCAGACAAGTTTAATACATCAACCAATCTTGAACCTAATATAAGGATTCGTTATAGAAAAGGAATGTAAGAAACCTCTTTTTTTTTATGAATATGTAAGAAACCTCATTAGAGTATGCATATCTGCATGAACAAGAGACAAGCCAGTTCCAGTACACACCTCAAGAGGATTCTTTGATACAACTGACCAGAAAAGAAAAAAGGATTATTCACTGGAATAGAAATATACAACTCCCAAAGAAAGTTCACAAAAAATTAAACATCTAGAACAATAGAAAGAAACAATTGCACAAAGCAATCTCTAAAGCTATATTTGGTTGGAAGGGAAAGGTAGGGAATTCCTTTTTCCTACCTGTTCCTTCAAACCAAACACAGCGTAAGGGTAAGTAGAAAGAAAAGGAGTATTCGGATGTCACTAAGTTTATGGAGCCAAACTTGAGGCAGGCAGCCAATAAATAAGGTACAAGCAAAAACCTACAGAGATGTTCGATCCTAATGGCAAATTTAGGCCATTATTCATGCTACAGCCTATGAAAGAGACTAAGTCGCTGCAGCAACTAAATGTAATCAGAATGAAAAAGAAAAAATAAATGCATCTCTTCACAGAGCTGTACATTAGAGAGCAAACAATTTTACACCATCTTAGTGAAACAATGTCAATTTAACAAAAGGTGATGGAAAATCGAGAGTGATAACCAATTTAAAAAGAAAAAGAAAATTCTCATATTAAAATCAGTAGTTAGTTAATTTTTGGACAAGATTTTCTAAATACAAATCCAACCGATAATCATATTAATATCAATATATTTACCGAGGATGAGCATTGCATCAGGAAGAGCACCGAGGATAGGAAGGAAAAGACCACCAATAATACCAGGGCCAAGGACTGACAGCAGAAGCTCACTTCCGTCCGAGAGGTACCTCGCCCCATGGAACATCAAGAACCCGTATACAATGATGAGGAAGAGGTTTCCAACAACATTAGTGGTACAGGGGAGGAACCCATATGTCTGCTCACAGGTCTCGGATGCACGGAGCCTCTTGAGAAAGATGCCTGGAGATTGCACTCGACCATTTTCGACTCCGTCGGAAACCAGATTAGAGCTAAAGCTCTCTGTAATGAACCGACTACTGCCGGCGCCAGCGACAGCGAGAATCACTAGGAGGACGAACAAAACACAGAGGAAACTTTTCTTCACCATGTTCTTTGATGCTTGTTTCTAGTCACGAATCACAATATACCTTTTTACACTATCTACAGCGCGAGAGATTAGTTCTCGGATGGGGCCTCAAGCTGTACAATTAGCAGGGCGAAAGTATGGCTTCAAGTTGAAGCTGCTGCTGAAGACCGAAGTGCTGATGCCCCCTTCTCCGTTTTCCCTGGAGAACAAACTAAAAACCAACGGTCTGTGTGACCAACGCAACCGGTACTATTTAGTACTCGGTAGTTAGTGGGGGGTACTGTACAAATCGTGATACGCTACGTGGTCTGGTTAGGCAAGTTATACCAGTAGAACTGCAGAGGATTGCAAAGTAGTATGTCCTGAGCGGTGAAAAAAAAGAAGGAACCGGAGGATGTGGACCAATTTTATGATATGCCACGTCAGTCTGGTACATGGGCCCACTGTTGCTGGAGATGACAGGTCATATAGGATAGAAASAGTTAACATTGGCTGTGGGGAGAAACACTGAAACAGTTCCGCGTCAACGCGTAACGACATACTTGGGATTTATAAGGATAAGGTTGAAAGGAATAAACTATTATATCTATATATATTAAAATTGGTATGTTCATATTGATGTCAGCATTCTCTAAGCTATTTATCTATTTTCTTAACTTTTTGTATTTTTTTATTTTTTTTTAAATTTTTATTTTTTTAAATTTATGTCATTTTTGAAATAATCAATGAGATGCACTTTCCTAATAACCTAAATAATCTTTCTCATAAAATTTCTCCAAAACTACCTCCCCCTCACTTTCTCCAAAATTATCTCTAATTCCTATTTATCTTTTAAATTATCTCTAATTTCTTTTTATCTCCAAAATTCTCTTTAATTTAGGAGAGAATTGAGAATTTCTCCCCTAAATTATCTCTAATTCTAACTTATCCTCTCCACAACTTTTTATCTATATCTATCTAAAGAAAGTTTGGATTAAAAATTTTAAGAATTATTTAAATATTCTAATAAAATTATATAATAACTTTAAAATATTTATTAAAAACAAAAAATATAAATTTATATTTTTACAATATATATCACGAAATTATGTACTAACAATTTAAATTTTGTCTTTCTGGATTATCAAATTAAATGTTTTTCAAATATTTAATAATATGTAATAGCTTTAAAATATAAAATTCAAATAACAAAAAAATTAAAATATTTTATAAATTATTTAAATATTTAAATAACTAAATATTTATCATAACTAGATTTTAAATAGTTAAAATAACGAATTTATGTAATAAATTGAAAAAATTTCTTCAAAGTAGAAAAATAATTATAACATAATATTGAAATTAATAGTAATTTAATATATTACAAAATTAAAAATGAACTTATGTAATAATAGTATAAATTATGCTTTTATGGATACTTAAAGTCAATAAATTATGAATATTTTAAAATTTAAAACACTTAATCTCTGTTTATTATATAATTATATATACTAAAATTAATATTTATTGTATTTTAATAATTATTTATTTTTTCTGATAAATGTATTTNTAATAATTTAAAAAATCTCTAAAAAATAGAAAATTAATTATAACATAATATTGAAATTAATAATAATTTAAATTTTTTACATAATATTGTAAATAAATAATTTCACTTATATCAAGTAATAATTCGAGAAAATAACTTTCAAAAAAATTAATATTTATTAATAATAATTTTAAACTCTTAATCTATATTTATTATATAATTGTATATACTAAAATTAATATTTATTGTTTTTTGTGATAAATGTATTTTCAATAATTATGTATAAATTTATTTTGCTTTGTTATTTAACAAAAAACTTTCAATATTTATTGGAGATTAAATTACTATTATTGAAATTTTTAAATTTAATTTATTATACTTATTGTATTTATTGTATTTTTGTTATAAGTTATTGATTAATATTTATTAGAGATTAAACTATTATTTGAAATTATACTATTTATTGATTAAGTTAATATATTTTTAGTACTTGTATTTTTGTAATTTCTATAATCATTGTATTTTTTATTATCAATATATTTTCAATAATTGTGTGTTTTCGCTATAAATTTTCAATAATTATTGGAGATTAAACTATTGTTATTTATTAGAGATGACACTATTAATTTAGTTGAAATTATGAGTGTTCATGAGTTGGTTCGGTTTGATCATAGGCTATTTGTCCAACAAAATTGAGTTGGTCAGTAGAAACTGACTAACCTTTTGTGAAAGCCGACCCACTCTAGTTGTATCGGTTTGGGTCGATTTTTTGGTTTGGTCAATCGGTTCAAAAGAAATATGAGAAATTTTCCACTTTAACATATTAAAAATTATATTAAAAATATAAAATATATATATATATCAATGGTTAGGTCATTCGATTTTGGTTGATTTACAAATGGCYAAAGTGAAACTGATCCAACTTGGTCGAATTGGAAAATTTTTGAACCAAAGCCAACCTAAAATACTAGAAAACTAACCAACTCGGGTCGAGTTAATCGAGTTGGTCGGTTTCATTAGTTTGATGAATAAACCTAACTAAAATTAATTATTGTTATTTTTGTATTATAAATTTCTTTTAAAAGTAGTTTATAAAATATGAAWAATTATTAATTATTGAAAAAGTTGAAAACATAAAACAATTGTATACTCTTATGTGTTTCTATTAGGGGCATTTACTAGAACACACTTTTAGGGATGGCAATTTTCCCCATCCCCGACGGTAACCTAACTTCCCTGACCCAATGGGGATGGGGATTGTCTTGGTGGGGCAGGGGTAGAGACAAGGATCAATAGGAATCCCCGGTCAGGGTCGGGGATGGGGTTGATATCCCATATATACATATATATATATATATATTAAATATATTATTATATTATTTATATTATATATATCAAAATATATTTAAAACATTGTTTATAATTTAAAATTTTTATTTATTTTAAAAACTATTATCTAAAAACATTTTGGGGACTCAGGTCCCCACGGGGAACCCATCCCCGTCGGGGATCGGGGATGGGTGTTAATTTTAGAATCGGGGTCAGGGACGAGGAATATGATCCCCACCCCAAACCCGCCCCGTTGCCATTCCTACACACCTTATAGTTTTACATATTTACTTAAACCAACCTTATAGTTTTCATTTTACTAAAACATCCCATATATTTTACAACTTATTTATTTAATCAACCTTACATTAAGGAGTGTTTGTTTTGCCATTAGGCCCATGATTTTTTATTTCAAAAATACCCTTAACACTTTTTTTGTATAGAAAACAAAATTGACCAAATATAGCCAATAGAGTGGTTGTCCCGGGCCATTTCTCCCTCCTCTAGGATAATTTAGGGGATCAGTGGTTCAGCATGGCCCACATCTCGAGCCCGCACGGACCCGTGCCATGCCATGGGTCAGGCTGGTCCATGGGTCGAGCCTTGGGCCATGCCATGCCGCACACCAAGCCAAGCTCAAGGCAAGGCACCCACTCTCCGTCCAAGGTTTTTAAAATCGGACCGGAAAAGGAACCGTTATGGGGTCGAACGGTCTATTTGTCAAATGGATGACCCGTTCTGACAAAAAAAATAAAAAATTAGAAAAACAAAAAAAGGATAAAAACTATTGTCTGGGTTGACAATTCGACCGCCCAGGTCAGCGATTCGTTAACCAAATAAACGGTTTTTGGACAAAACAAGGTTTTGAGGAGAAACGGTTCAATTCCCAATTTTCGGTCTAACCATTAGGTTTGATCCAGTTTTGAAAACACTATCCCCGTCAGCCCAATATTCGATTTGATGATAGAAATGATTAAAAGGATATATTGAGTATCAACCACATGGTAAATTTCTAAAAGTACACTAAATTGTCTTTAATATTCAAAAATGTAATTTTATGAAAATTTTGGAAAATTTATTGTACTTGTGTAATTTTGCAAGTTTATTCAAATTTATTTAAACTTTTATTAAATAAATTATTTTCTTTTTAAATGGTTTACTTACAGAATTATACTAATTTATCTTATAATTTCTAATATAAACTAACCAATAATTTCCTTTTTCCAATATTATACTATTTATCTTAATAATTTTTGTAATTATTTGTTCAAATTATAGTTTTTCATTTCCCATAGTCATTTATCTTTACTAATTTTCAATAATTTGCAATGAAAATCACATAATTTTTCAATGATTTTCTAAAATCTATCAAATGTAATAAATTTTCCTAAAATTTCCAAAATATTCTAATAATTTTCAATAATTATTTAATGCATTTTAAATAAACTTTCAAATACTTTATATCTTTTAATTTCCAAAATGTTATTTTATGAAAATGTAGTTTTATGAAAATTTTTTTAAAAAATTATTACATTTGTGTAACTATGGGGATTTATTGAATTTTTTTTAAAATTGTTATTAAATATATATTTTTATTTGGACTGGATAGGGAACCTCGACCTTCTCGAACCATCAACCCATAATTGGATACTTTTTCAAAAAAGGCCCCTCCAAGGTTATTTATCCCACGGATAAGGTTATTTAATAACAATTAGTGTTAGTGAAAATTTGTGAAAACTGTATACTTTTTCAAAAAAGGCCCCTCCAAGGTAATAACCTTGTAGAGTAGGGGTAAATATCCAAAATCTGGATACTTTTGAAAAAAGGCTCCTCCTAGGTAAAACCTTGTGGAATCAAGGTAAATTGGCGAAAACTGGATACTTTTTGAAAAAAGACCCCTCTTATGTATTTATCCTAAAGAGTCAGGGAAAATTTGCAAAAATAGGAAACTTTTTGAAAAAAGGCCACTCCAAGGTAAATAACCTTGTAGACTAGGGGTAAATATCCAAAAACTATATACTTTTGACAAAAGGCTCCTCCTAGGTAAAAACCTTGTGGAGTCGAGGTAAATTGGTGAAAACTGTATACTTTTTGAAAAAAAGGCCCTACCTACATAAAAACCATGTAGTGTCAGTGTAAACTTGTAAAAACTGGATACTTTTTCAAAAAAGGCCCCTCCTATGTATTTACCATGAGGAGTTAGGGAAAACTTGCAAAAACATGAAACTTTTTGAAAAAAGGCCCCTCCAAGGTAATAACCTTGTAGAGTAGGGGTAAATATCCAAAAACTAGATACTTTTGAAAAAAAAATGCTCCTCCTATGTAAAAACCTTGTGGAGTCGAGGTAAATTGGT